CTCCTTTGCATACGAATACCTTTTACGAACTTCGATCCACGACCACTTTTGATTTCGAAGGCTTCTTCGTTCAGCCTTCTAGGAGGGGAGCTCTGTAGCAACCCAAAAGATATTTCTTATCTTATGTACACTTTTGTTACTCAATCGTACAATATTGGTTTTTGTTTTAATGCCAACTCTACTGCGATTCTTACCTACATCCGGCTCACCACTTGCCTCTACGGTGAGCTCCGACACTGACGTACGCTCTCGTCGCTTCACCCGTCTTTCGTTCGTTTGCAGCCTTTCTCGAATACAATCCGTTGTGTCCGTTCTTCTGGTATCCACACCAGAGCAAGAACACTATCGGAGTAGTATAGACTAGTCCTGCATGGTGCATTTTTAGCGCAGTGCCCAGTCTTCCTCCTCAGTTTTAATGCGGGGCCCAATGGGAATGCCCAGGAGTTACTCTCTGTCACGTTTTATTCAAATGAATCGCATTCGGTGCTCCTCACTTATTTAGCCATTACTGCCAATCTTTCGTACTTCAGCGATAGTTCATGTACAATCTTTACCGGTGGGAGGACTATACATACTGAACAACACCACAGTGTATCTGGTTTACTATTGTGTACATTCAACTGGTTCGCTGTGAGCTTGGAACATTTACGATGGAACTTGCCTTGACAACTGCTACACTGGGACGTAGCGACAACACAAATCCCTCAGCAAAGTAGCAAAAGTGGATGAGAAGTTTGACGTCCGGACGGTGGTTAAATGACATGAACAGATCAGCTGCAAGAGGAAACGTACACACACCTCAAAAGCCTAAAAGAATCATTGGAAAACTCAGGTGGAATGAAGTAAAAAAGTGAATGGCAGGGTCATTTTGAAGCACTCGTTATGTAAAAAATTACGACGCGCAGTATCAATGTGGATTACGATTCGCACTGAAGTGAATCATTGTCAACTCGGTCACTGGGACCGTAATTGATGAAGACGTATATTGGGTGTTGCTCGTCCGAAAACACTGGAGTGCAGTGCTTTTGGACAGCCAACATCCAATAGCCAACTGGAAAGGCGCTTTCAATCTGATGCGTCCTTTAGAGTGAAGTGATGCATCAAATAAGTGTTGGTCTCGAAAACTTTCCTCAGTTATTTGAAGATATATTGTTGTTGCATCGATCTTCTTTCTCAATAAATTGCTTGTCCTAACCTTATTATCACTTATGTTGACCTTCTCTGTGTGTGTGTGTGTGTGTGTGCCACTTATCGCACATTTCGAAATCCGACGTCCTACCATTTCTGTGCTAGTGATACAATTTTTCTGTGGCATGAGCCCTATGGTGATCGTTAAAATAAATTTTCTCGTCTTCGTCGTCTTCACTTGGTCACCTTCATCACACAGATCTCCTCATAGATTATGCTGCGTTCTCTGATGACCAGATAGGTTAACCGGTTGTTTCCAAAAACCCCTGAAGTCGTGAGTTCGCGATCAGTTCGAAACATTTTTCAAGATGCTGAATCTTCAGAGAATATTTCACTCATAGGCTTTACAAGGTTACCATCGCATCAACTGTGTTACCTTGGATAGATTTGTGCCTCAAATATCAAAAGTAATTATTAATGGTCGATGAATTCTTATCAAGGTCAGATGATGTTAGCGATGTTACAGTAGGTGCTCCACATATACCTGTTTTGTGTACGTAAATAAATTCAATACTACGATCAGGACCGGAGAATCACACCATTTCCCAAGTGATGTAAAAGCAGTGCGATTGTTAGCTCCTTGATGTACTTTACAACAGCAAAGTAAGCTATGGGTGAGGCATTCAACTGAAAAGATTTACCCAAGATGTTGCTCCATTCTACATAGGTGATTCAATGAATCGAGTGGATATTGGTCAAGTGTGTATCTTGAAATACAAGGAACAAATTGGGCATATTGCAACCTAGACAATCCAGACTATCGAAGTGATAGCTTGCTCCTTGGTAACCGAGGAAGCTCGGCTCGTAGCATTCGAAACCCATAACAATCCGTTTATGTTATAATGGCCCATCCGCTGCAGCAATATAAAGGACGATACACACAGATGAACTCAATGATTAGGCACATCGGTAGCTTAAAAGTGGAGGGTTGCGGTTTTGAACAGCCATTGCGTTATGATTCTCCCAGTTGATAGGTGTGCACACCAGTACAAGAGCATTTGCCTCATAAACAGAACGACAAGTACCATTCCACCAGAGTGGATTAGTGTAAGTATTAATGCCCATATACCGACCACTAAGGAACAAACCTCCCCAGATCATTGGAAAGCCAACATCTGTTTTGGTGTTTATTATACATACACTGCAACCTAAAACGACAATAATGGTTTAATAACAGTCGTGCCGACCAGAGCGTACATGGATACCGACCTTATGATATATGTATATAAAAGCTAGATTAAAGAGGAGCATTGGCGTTTCGTCGAGTTTGGAGCTGCATTGATCACATCTTCACTTTACGTCAATTATTGGAGCACGGCCACATATATTGGCGGCCCACCGTTGTGTTCCTCAACATCAAAGGTGCCTTCGATTCCGTTGATCGATGTGCCCTTTGGGACTGTGCACTCAGGAAAGATGCTCGAGAAATATGCAAATATTACTGAGCGCTTCAAGCGCGTGGATCCAGCAGAGAGCCTACGGCAATTTGTCGCACCCTTCAATATCTCCATCAGTGAGAAGCGAAGATACCAAATGTCACCATTCCTCCTCAACTTCGCGAAGGACAAGGTTATGAAAACTAGGTTCACTCAACGCGACTTAAGTGTGTAGTTGCTTACTGACATCAGTATGCAGATGATATAGCCCTCATCTGCGATAGCTCACAAATGTGCCAAGCGGTATCAGACAGATTAGCAATTGTTGTGCTCTCGAAACGCTGACCTTCGGGTGGTGACCAGCTAGGAGTCACTTAGAGACTGCCCTACCTGGATAACTACACCAGCACGTGTGGGGTGGAAGATGAGGTCATAAACCGTGTAGCAAAAGCTCGACTCCGTCACTTATGGCGCAAGTGCAACAACACAGTTGCCTACAATGCAACCGTCCGTGCAGGGCTGTGGATACTAGACCAACAGATTGACAGACATAGAGGATAGTTGCGTCCGACCATCGTTACTTTCATATTCGAGCTTATTTCTGGTGGGAGCACCACGTAAGCAATGAGCGGATTCACCGTTTTGTATAGGGCGCAGGAAGAGCGCGAATGGACCACCCAGCAATGTTATTCCACTCACCAGACTGCGATAGCTTGGTCATGTGTAAAACATACAAATACGCCGACTTCCACGTAGGATGTATGCTGTATGTGCAATAAGACCATAAATGGAAGTAGAGTAGGAGAACGAGCGATGACTTGGTGAAGAAAGATGTAGTATCTCATTTGGAACTTAACCTCAGTTTCTGCCTCCGATTCCCAGGTTGAAGGTACTGTATTACCTAGCCAAGAGCCGACCTCAGTGATATCTGTATTATGAGTACCTTCGTCTCAACCCGCTTAGCATCTCGTCCCAGTCAAGAGCACAGTGCCGAGCACAATAAAAACAAAGCACGAAATTACCTGCTGTGTTTTTGATTTCTCAGTCTCGTAGCTGAAGTGTTTCTTACATCTAACGTGTAGAGTGATAAATGCTGTCCAGTACTTGCTCATGCAGCGCTTCGTTGAGAACACAATTGATGAACAAAACAGGAACCAATGATCCGATATTTGGAAGCACATAAAATCCTAGGAATGAAGGAAAGAGCCAAACCTCACTGTCGCAGGTGTATAATTTCCGGTCCCTTTTGGCTAAAGTTCAAACGGCTGGTTGACATCAAACAGCATCTTACATACCGAAGTACAAAGCAAACATCAACACAACGCGATCACACGGCTTCGGAAATGCCAAGTGTGATCCAAGTAAGTGCAATGTCAAATTATAGGAGAGAACATTGTATAATTGGGTTTACTCAACAGATGTGCACCTCGACTAGCCCGTATGCGGTTGGACAAGGGAACCGATTTCCCCACTTTGTAATAACTACTCTAGTGTAAAAATAACGGAATTAGAAAAATATACAAAAATGTCAAACCGGAGAGGGTGATGAGCCGAATGTAATGTAAGTCGCAGCACAAAATGAAGTAAGGCAGATTGACAGCGGGCGCTGAGTCTTCAGCTCGGCAGGAGATGCATGTCCTCTCATTGACCTATCTGACTAGATGGGCACAGCGGTTGAAAGTAAATAGGCATCAAAGGAGTATCACGATAGCTTAGCCAATCAACAAACAGACAATTTAATGGTGCATCCCAGCTGCTCACAAGCCTGATTAACCTAACCCCAATCCGGGAAACGATTGTTTCGTCTCATTGAGGCATATCAATGGTGCGCAGTCTCTTGGTCCTCTCACATTCTTCAAATGCTATGCGGATATAGCTACTGTGCAATGGAAGTCGTAATCTCAGATGCCAGTCCCTGTCCTCTGAAATGTGAAGAGCCTGCATGACAGTGGAAGATAAGACTGCACGATAGACCAGTTACCTTGCTTCCGTCTGCAATGGCTCAGTGGCATGAGCAGCTAGTGGCCATTGGTCGATCCCCAGCAGGGGACCGATGGAAAACGCAACGCTGAGAAGCTACAACAGAGTGAAACGATCGCCTGGTACTTTTCCGGATTAGAGTTAGACTAATTGGGTTTGTGGACGTCTAGGATGAACCAACGAAATTTTATCGAAATCGCTAAACTGAAATGCTAACTGACGTCTCAATCGAAGGGAAAATGACTGGTGTACACTGCTCATCGCCCTTATCTCTTAACGGTAACATTATCCTCGTCGACACACTTTGCTTTTACACCATTTTTACCCGTGTTCAAACAACATTACCATGGCGACGTGCAGTAAAGCAACTGGAGCAGCCGCATGTTAGTTCACAGAGCACACACGCATTCGTGACCAAAAAGTGTGGAGGGAGAAACATAAATTAACCATACGAAGTAAAGATAAAAGAGGTGTAACTTGTATTTGAGAAGTCGAGCACTACAGCAAGATCGGAGAGGTTAGCTCTCTGCATCATCAGTGAATGTCTTTTTAACAGGTGCCGGCCCAACAAAGTTCCGGTTACCCCACTGGTGCCCTGAGTTCGAACGGAAAGACAAACCATTGTGTCCAGCCCGAAATCCTCGACCTCGACCCGCGTAATTGAATCCACGTCCGGATGAATTTCCGCGCCAAGCACCTCGGGGACGCCCGAATTGACGATCACCAAAATGCGACTCCTCCGGTTCCAATTCTGGTAACTGGGTCAGAGGTTCGAGATTGCCGCTGTCAATCGTATTCTGCCAAGTGCTGCAAAAGGAGTCCCGAAGATCTGCAGGGACATCAAAAACAAAACCCTATGGGAAACAGGGTGGGTTAAAAGAGTACATGGAATCTCACAAAAGAGTTAGAATTTCAAGCTCACAAGGCTGGCGGTTCCCCTTTTAAGCAGTGAATATTAGTAAAAGTGTTATAAGGTTTTTTAATCATTCACAGGGATGCGTGGCGCGAGTCATCGTAGACGATAAAGAAGGTTCTGAAGAGATGCATGGAATCAGTGGCAATCAAAAGATCGTGGCTAACTGGGAAATGCTTTTAACTTTGACATGAATGATATCAAAACCACCGGCATAGATGACAATGCTGCGTGAAAAAGAGTGATGCTTACTTGTGCAAAGCTCTCGGGAGTTTACTGGTGTGTCTGGCAGTACTCGCCGTGTAGCTGGATTGCGACACGCAATCCCAATTTGAGCGACGGTTTATTTTGTAATAAATCATTGCCATTTAAACCACTAGAACCAACATCGCACTCCAAACAACTCGCGGGTACTCCAATACAAACATACACAACTGAACTCCCAACCATTGTGTCAAGTGTTGCTCGCGGAGCTATAGCTTTGTGATCAAGATGCAAGTCGTCAACCACCAAGAGTGGAGTTGCAGTCTCAGCTCAGGCCATGCTTCCCTGAAAGCTCAGAGTGGGAAGAAAACCGGTTACGAATAGGTTGGGAGATAGCAGCTCTGTGACGCGCTGCGAAGTTTGACTGGATTACAATGAAAGTAAACTGCGAGAGGGAAGCCGGGCAGGTAGACAAAGGATTCATCGGCAAACATATGCATTAAACTACGCACAGTGCATAACCACAATGCTGGAAATCATAGTCACGAATAAGCGAGGAAGTGGGACCAATCCTAAGCTAGTTGTGATGACCTCCATCATAACGATACCGATGCCCTACTTATTATGAGCAAGTAACCAATTTCGCCGGCTAACTGGTAGTCCAGCATAAGTTAGCTGGAGTTCAATAGACATACCAAAGGAACAGGCCGCAGAAGCAATGACTAATTCTCTTGATCGCCACAGGTTATTCGACGATATCCGTGTCCGGTTATCAACTATCGAGCTTATCTCCAAGAAGCCAAAGGACATTATGCGAAAATCATTGAGACATAAGCTTTCGTTCCATTCTCATGGGTATCAATCTCCGACGACGTATCGGTAATCGTGAGTCGAATTGCCGCAAACCAAGCAGGATTCTACCCTGACCGTCGTCGCATCGATCACATACTTACTCTTGCCAAATTTTAAGGCAGATACACACTTACAGATGACCTACGACGGTGGTTTTCCTTGACTTGAAAGTCGCCTTCGACTACTGATCCTGGTAGCTTGTGGCACTAGCTATATGTGAAAGAAGTGTGGAAAACTCCTTTCCACTCTGAAGTCCCTTTACCGTGACCCCTGAGGCTGGGTAAAGGTCTAGGAGAAGTTGTCTCCTGAGTTTTCTACGAAAAGTAGGGTTTGCCAAGGTTGTCCTATATCTCCTACCCTCTTCAACTTTGTGATCGAGATGATCATGAATGACTCGGTTACTTCAGGCTTTTCCGGAGTTGAATGACTGCAAGGTGATCGACAAACAATCAGTGCGAGCGATATAGTTCTCTGTGGATCTAACACAGTGGCTATGCAAACACTACTGCATAGACTGGTGCATAGCTCTGCAGACTTCGGCATGTGCTTGCTTGCTTCATAGTTCAAAGTACAGTTGCAGAACAGGATCGGTTCGCGTACCTTAGTACCTGTGTTACCTCTGCTGGTCACATCACTAAGAATATTACTTTGCCAGATGCTCAACGATCTATGAACAGACGGGATTTCAACTAGTCAGTGAAAGACAGGCTGTGATAAGGCCAATGGTACCGGATGAATCATAATCCTGGTCGCGTTGGATCACCGGTGCTCGCGGATTATTGTTCAAATCTCGTAGGAACACCAGTTCAGCAATACTGAAGTCTACCAGTCGGTTTTTGGGAAGAAGCCTCCTGGCGCCTTAACCTAGTGCTTGCTGAATCTTAATCGCTTACGTCATGTCCTCTGCATGTTCGTTGACCGCTTTCCTCGGCGTACATTATACGTCGTAGCCACAACACTTTTGGCGAAACCGCGAGATTGCTAGGCGATGACATGATAAAGAAACTGATCGAGGGACTTGGTCAAGCTGGTAGGAGAAACCCCGGATATGGCACCCACCAGTGGTTGCACACTCTATCAGACACGGCGAAATCGTGCAACCAGTGTCACTCCTGTATTCGGTTTCTAGCATCTAGCCATTAATTTGCATTCCATCCTGATTAGTTTAACGCACCATCTTGCTTCCATTGTCTTGCGCTCGACCGCATTTCCTTACCGTTATTACTTAATGTTGTTCTGGCGACGTGTCGTGATAACTGGATCACTGTACTTAAGTGCCCGGATCATAATTGTTCAAGTGAAGTGAATCATATCAGTGTCCGACAGTGATCGTAAATTGTTATCTTATAACAAAACTACTTAGCCACAACCAAGATGGAAGGAACTAAAAAGGATGAAGAAACATAAGCAGAAAAAGGTTCAGTTCAGAGCATCGGAGCCAGTGACGAGGCGGTATCCAAGTAAACAAGCTTGCGACGCACTTTATTTAGGGCGATAAGTTTTCCAAGATGTATGCTTCATGTGTGACAGTCATCATCGCACAACCGTAGTACATGGCTACCGAAAATGGTAAGCTGTTCACGCACTATGCCCTATGAATTTGTTTACTTCACACAATTCACTTACATTTTTGTCCACCTCCAAAACGATGTCACTACGTAACCAATCTCCACTCCCTAAAGATGAGGTCGTAACATACTGCACGGTGTGCTTAACGATGAACTGAAGCGTCGGATGGTACTTGCATAACATTACTCGGTCAAATAAAACAGGTAAGTACGAGCTTTATATACCCACATGGATGAATTTTCAGCATTTTACACTATCAACAGTAAATATACCGAAAAGTCACCATTAAAAAAAGCTAAGTTTACAAGTGGGTAGAAAAATGAGGATGCACTGTTACAGATCCATCGAGTAACGATCCCCAAAAGCTAAAATAAATCATCCGAATTTGTAGCCATTCAAAAAGGTTTCATAAGAATGTCTCCTCGGAATTCGTTTCAATTGACGCAGAATTTGGTGTCCAAAAACAATAGATAAGATATCGTGCACGATACCTAGCATTTTTATTCAAAGTTAGATGGAGTAGACGCTTTCAGTGAAGTAGGAAGTTGATCGAACAAAACATCTGTCAGCGTAATCTTGCAAAACTGTGATATATACTGTAAATAATATGTGATTTTCGGCGAAAATGCAATGGCCGATTTATAAACCCCGGTATAATTCTTACAATTTCGTAAGTAATAAGAGGAAGAGCATCCTCACCTTACTTGGCCTCCAACAAGACCCGAGCTTAACGTGGTGCGACGGTTTGCATACCTCTTTGACTCTTTGAGCTATACGGCAGGTGCTCCTGAGCCCCTTGAGAGCTACTCCTACCAAGTTGTCAGTGGTTAGAGGTCCGACAAGCTCAGTCTCCTGGTATTCCGGGTTCGGAGTTTGAAATGGGATGACGTCCATTTCTGCAAAACTAAATCATTGCCACCTCCCCGGTGCCTGGTGGACAGGCCTCTGGACGAAACGCTTTGGTTGAGGACCCTAATCGTCCTCCTACTTAGGTCTAAGCGCCCCAGCATTATCAGCCTACATACAACCTTGACAACTTCCAGAAACTCTTATTATATTCGGCATCGGCCAACGCGCAGATTATCAAGGGTCGCCTTATCTGCTGCATACAGCAGGGCGGATAAGAGAAAAGATGCTACTTATGGTGCCTCCCCTTTTGCTTCTTCCCCTGTTTTTCTTACTCCCACTCCAACTCCCATTACTAAGCTCCTTTCTATAATTCCCAGCTTAATCGACAGCAACCAAAGTGCCACTGGAGTAGAACCATGTGCAGCCACCTTCTTGCAACAGACACAGCACGCCTATCTGCAGCGGTTCCTTATATGGCCATGCAGTCTCGTTTCGCTAGCGGCGTTCAACATTCGCACTCTAAGACAAATAGGTCAACAAGCTGCACTCGCACGCACGTTGCACACATTGATGTGTGTTGTGCGTATGAACCTAGGATCATTGACCCTCAGGGGCTGTGGAATTAAATGCGCCCGACTTGTCCTCTCGCTATTGATTGCACGCATCTGGAGACAGCGATGTGGCAACCACTGGTCAAGCTGAAATGGGCATCATCCACAACTCCAAGGCTGAGCCATTTTCGGTTGATTGTATTCCGGTGAACAACCATTTGTGTGCAGTCCGTTTGAGGATATCAACTAAGGTTGATTCACGAAACAGTAAGTACAAGACACGGTTTGTTGTGATTTCCGATTATGCACCCAACGACTGCAGTTCAGATGCTGACAAAGACACATTCTATCACGAAATGAACGCGCTACTACGCAGTGCTACTACTTCAGATACCACAGTATTTGTAGGGGATACGAATGCAAAAGTAGGGCGTCTGAGCTCTTCAGAAGCTCAGCTAGGTGGTAATTATGGGCTTAACTCCGAACGGATTAACAACGGTGAAGGTTGGTTTTAACTGTGTGCGGAGCACTAGTTGTTTCGTAGTAGCACTGCTTTTAGACACAGTGGGCGCCGAAGTGCCACTTGGCGTTCTCCTGTAGCTGGCCAATGATGGAAGCAAATAGATCACAGTGCCATAAGTTACAGGTGGTGTGATTCCATCCTGGATTCTCGCTCGTTCTGGAGTACTTGCATCGACTCTGATCATGCGTTAGTACGCTGTCGCTTTTCCATGAACTTCAGCGGGAGGCGCCCAAAGCGTATAGTCCGATTGGCAAATGAGAAATTGTCTCAGTCCTCGGTCAGACAAGCCTATCAAGACGCACTGCATACCGAACTTGTATTGTCTTGTCCTAATGGCACTGACCTTCAGTGGAATAGGATCTCGGCCGCCATACACGACGCAGGAGCATCTGC